GGGGGGGGGGGGGGAATGGCCGCTGGGTCCGAGCTTCCCTCCGGTCCCGCCCTGCTTTGAGCCCACCTTCCTTACTTGACGGAAGGGAACACATTTGTCTTGAAGGCGCTCCGGGGATTTCGTCCTAATTTATTTCTCTAAAGCCGAGTCAGAGTTTGCATGAATATGATTTAGAATATTCATATATTTCCATTACAACTGATCGAAGCCAAGCCACCTGTCACCCGGGGAGCTTATGTGCCATATTTGCTAGTTCTTAATTTTCCAATTTTCATCTTTCAGATTTCAGACGCAGGTTGCTGAGTTTCAAGTTTAACACCAGAGTTTGCCTGCGAAGGGTTCCCCCTCCCCCCCGCCTGAAGGCGAAGTCTGGGCCTTTCCCCAGAAGTCGGCCTCCTTGGGTGGGTTCCGCGGCCGGTGCGGCGGCTGCAAAGCTCCCGGCCGCCAGCGGGGGCCAAATGCCCAAGGGCCCCCCTCAAAGGCACCGCCAGGAAAAGCCAGCAAGGGAGCCTGGCCGAGGCAAGACCGCGCCCAGAAGCGAGGGGACGAAGAGGAACGGTGCGCCCTGCTCGCCTCGCCGGCTGGGGAAGGCGGAGGCCGGCGGAGGGTCTGCCCCAGCAACCCTGTCCTCCTTCCTGCGGGGCTTCCCACGGCAGCCCGGCGGTCCCCTCCGGCTCGTTCGTCCCCTGCCTAATTCTCGCCTGGGGCCACCGGGTATCGGCCTGCATTGTGCGAACGTGGTCGCTGTGCGAGAAAGGCATCGCCCGTGTCATTGCTGGCGTCTCCGCGCAAAGGCGGAGGAAGGAGCTGACAAGTCACGGCGGCACCCGGGGGTCCCGGCGTCTCCTCTTCCTCTCACCCGGAGCCGAGGGGGCTCAGCGCCGTCCAGGCGAGGCCCCTGCGCGCTCCTTCCGCGCCTCGTGGCCCTGCCAAGCGCGGGCTGGCCAAGGCTTTTTTCCACGCGCCGGTCAAAACTGATCTTGCAGCCCCCTCAGCACAAAGGGCAGGGGCACCTCCACCCCCTACCAATACCCTCTTTCGCTCTCCCTCCCCCCCCCGCGAATCCCGGGCCACGCCTTCCCTGCCCCCCTTGGGAAGGCAGGGTGAGAGATCGGCCGGCCGGGCAGGCGGAGGGGTGAGGAGGAGGGCAGGCAGCCCCCACACACCCCACCCCCGGATGCTCGCTCCGCTCCGCTCCGCCGGGCAGCTCCCAGGACCTCCGGGCGTGGGCAGGGCTCCTCCTGACCCAAGCGGGGTGGGGCTGAGCCCCCCTCCCCCGGGAGGGGAAAGGCCGGACCCGGTCCGAGCTGCCCTTTTCCTCCCCGCCAGCCCTCGTTCCTCTGCTGCAGAATCGGTGCCTCTCGCGGGAGGAAGGAAGAGACCCGGTGGGGCTTGGGGGCAAGGGGTCCTCGTGCCCACCCTTGGCTTCTTGGAAGTAAGACTGCCTGCGCGCCTTCCTGCCTTACCTGCCTGCCTGCCTGCCTGCCTGCGCGCGCCTTTCCTGCTCTCGCTTGGCTTCGAAGGACTGGCCCTGCTGGATTCGAGCCGTGCGCCCGCGGACGTGCCCGTGGCTCCTTCGGCCAGCGGGCC